GAAAGTGAGGGTAATACTAACAGGCCCTTCAAGGACTTCAATCTTCCCTGTGGGTGTTTTTGGAGAGACACCTTCCATTTGTAGGATGAGGAGGTTGGAGGTCTTCTGGGAGGTTGTGGGGTAGGAGGGGTTTTTATATGGGGGTAATCCCTCTTGTTAGGTAGGTTGCCTAGCTAACAAAAATATTCTCTACACCACCTATAAGAACCAACCCCTACACCTCTACAAAATGTCCTAACACAATGATGTTTCATAGGAAAATATCGTCTCGCATAAGCGAGGGCGCGTTTATCATTTAATTTAAAGTAACGCTGGAAAATACATTATGAAAGTAGTGTACTGTTGAAGGCAACCCCAGATGGCTTATCCTATGAACAAACATGACGCAATAGAGCCCACAGGCACGACTAAAATCACTCTGGAGTCCGTAGCACATTCCAAACACCTATGTTATTTTGTTAGTTTTAATAAATCCCTTAAAATAATGACCATAAGTAACCAATGACATTGCATAACTATAAAAAAACCATTCAGTGCTTAACTTTATCAACATGAATACCTACCTAATGTCCCAAAATTATTCTACTGTGTGATGGTAATATATTAGTTATAAAGACTATAGATTTTCTTGATGAGATATTTAAATGTTCTATCTCATCTGCAATATAACAACCTAGGTAGAGCACACGATCCCGTAGATTATTTTTTTAAATTAATATTTATATCATAATAATTCATTATGTTTTTAAGCCCGCATGTCGCATACAACAGTTCTCTGCCCGTCGATGGATAGTACCCCAGTCGTTTCCCCAAACAGTAAAACCAGTCTGTTATATGTAACACCACCACCAAATTCAAGCTCCATACGCAAGTTGCCAGATTTCTCCACAGGGAGGGAATCCTTCGTTTGAATGGTGCTTAAGTCAAAGGCGAATATTGATCTTCCTTTATTAAAAGTGTCATAGCCTAGTAGTGAATCACGCTCTAACCCTAATGTCTTCAAAGTTTCGTAATAAAGGCAGGAATAATGGTTGTCGAAATCACCGCCAATTCAGTAAATTGCATTATTGTTCAAATACATAGCAATATTTTTCAGCTTTGCATTTTCAAAATATAATCCATTACCTTGGTGAAGGCCGGCGAAATAATTCATTGGTACAATTACCATGAATATCTTGTGAGGAATTACTTGCGCCCAAGGCTGATCAATTAAAAGACTAGTTTGATTCCCTGCTAGGACATTTTTTTTTTTTTTTTAGATATATACAAGAGTTGTTACATTCTTGTACAGCCACTAGTACGCATAGTGTTTCAGGCAGGTCCCTGGAATACGATCCCCTGCCGCGAAGAATCGTTTTTTCATCCAAGTACACATTTTACTGTTGTGTTAAACAGAGGCTACAGTTAAGGAATTGCGCCCAGTAAATCCTCCCCGGCCAGGATACGAACCCATGACATAGCGCTCGCGGAACTGTTTTAGAAATGGTTCTATTGAAAGTATAGCTTATGGGGTCAGGGGATGCTAACAGTGAGCTGTTTAAGGCTAGGTAAGCACTTGGGTAGGGGAACACTCGTGTTACCCATAACTTAGCATAATCCATATGCAAGCGATACTTAGAGCCATCGTCCACACTTGTATTTAGCACCCAAGCATGGGGAGAGAGCTCCAATCTTAGGCGCACATCTATATTATCTAATATGTATTGGTCTAGGGTTGTTACGTCCAATACTAGGGGTAAACACATTGACAAACCCTTACCTTTTTAAATCAGACATAATTTTTTTTATCCTTGGTGGTTGCTCCAGTAAAAAATGTATTAGTAAATTCGTTAGGGATTATACCATCATCACTCCAGTCCCTACGAAAGGCTCCAATTCTCCCCAAGGAAGACATTTTTGATGGAGGCAGGGAGGTAATTAATTTAATAAATGACCAATAATTAAAATTAGAATTTGTTTCAACTACCTGCTCTCCTAAAACACCTGAACACCTTTAAACATGGTATTTGACAACCCATTCACAAATTCCACATAGTCATCCTCTTCCAATTTTGTGGTATTGTCATTTTTCGTTAAAGATACCTTAAAATCTATAACAATATTAGCTAGATCTAAGAAGGCGCCCTGGGTTCCAGGGATGCAGAATTCTAAGTAATTATCCCGCAAACGTTGATTAATGGGGAGGTTGACAGGAAGAATGTCTATTTGCTGCATAGAGGCAATTGAACTCTCCACATTACGTATTCTGTTACTTCTAGGAAATTGGTCAATAATACTGGAGCTATAATATTCTTTTGGTATTTTCACCCCAGCTCCACTAGCCTCCGCCATGATCCCCTCCGAAAGGTGAAGTATGACTGCTTACTATAGTGAAAATACGCCATTTTTATACCCAAGACCTCGTTTACATTTTTTATTTTTATTTTTTATTCTCCTAGAGAGTCTTTTAATTTTCCCACCTGTTATCAATTTCTTCCCCACAGTCTTAAGAGCATCAATACCGTGAGTTTTCAGAGCGCTCTTTACATCCCGTTTACCACTGGTTAAATCACCAAGAACATTTTTCCCAAAATCGATAGCACTCGGTGTTACAGCTTTCATGAAAAATGGTATGGCCCGTCGAGCCAAGCCAGCCAAGGTTCCAAAAAAACCACCACCAGATCTGAGATAAGGTGCTTGGAATGTGCGTATGTCATTCATCGCTCCCCTTCTCATCCCATGTCTCCTAGAGAGAGGAGAGAAGATCTCTCCGAATTCCTTCTGAGAAGATGGGTGGAATGGTACACGCATTCCGACACCTCTTATAATAACCGAAGTTGTGGGTAAACACTTCTATATATATTTATATTTATATAGATTATATTGCTATACTTTAGGGCGGATATGCAAGCCCGCCGTAACCGACCTCCCATCTTCAAAACTAACCATTCGCCCAAACTGATCTGTTATTTTAATACTTACTTTCTCCAACGTGTTAGTATTTAATGTCTTGTACACTAGGGGATGAGCTCCTCTAGAATATGAGTCATGATAATTGATTGCATCTAAGACATTTACAATCTGCCCCCCCCCCCCCCCCTATCATTCCGGCTCGATGACGTCACTATAAATGAGTAAATAGTCACAACCTCCGTCATTGTCTGGGGAGAATGAGGCCACGACCTTGGAGGCTGTTGTAATGTCATCTGTTTTTGCCCGATAAATGGTATATTTGCGACTGCTGTCAAAACCAAGTACATTAGCTATTCTGTGTTTAAATTGAAGGCTGAGAGAATATAACGAGCCAGTACCTTCTTTGTTAAGAGTTGAAGCTAGTAATACCCACTCTAAAGATTGGTCATAGGTGAGGATTGGTTCTCTTTCTGTGAAGTATATTTTGAAATCACTCCTGAAACTTAGTTTCATGTCAGTGATTATTTGCCGGCTAAGCTCACCCGTGATGAATGTGATGTTTCTGGATAATATGTTGGTTTTGGGGAGGAAGGTATAAATTAGGTGTTCTGGGCTTTTAGACAGAGTTCCACGTTTAAAAGTAGCATAGACGTCTATGCCAGACTCCCCCCTCATCCTTGATGATGGCGTTAATTCGTCTGGGTAGGAGTATGTTAACTAAAGCCACTTCATGTTTAATGGAAGGGTTTAAATGTAGTGTGGGGATTGTGTTTATAAATGCTGAACTTGTGTTATTGTATATATCTTCTTGGTCGAGACTAGTAAGGTATATGTAATGTTCCTCGGCCATTGTTCAGTTATGTACTGATTGGGGGGATATATGGGAGAGGAGTTTTTGTATGATGGGGAAATAAAACAACATTACTTCTATTTTATTTTATTAAACTACAAAGGAAATATTTGTTTTAAAGAACTACAACAGGGGAATTATTCCCACAACAAATTACATATAAAGAACAGCTGCTGCTGCTGCTGCCACCGCTGCTGGAGCTGTTGGTACCGCTGACGCCACTGCCACCGTTGTTGGTGCTGCTGCTGCTGCTGCCGCTGTCACCACCGCTGGGGCTGCTGTAGATGGTGGTACTGCTGCTGCTGTTGTCGCTGCTGCTGTTACTGTCGGTGGTGGTGCTGCCACCTCTTCTTTTCTGGGGGGATGATTACAGCTTTCGTTGTTTTTTCGGTGGGGAGGATAACAGGAACATTTCCTGTGACTCTCCATCGAGGATGGTGTCGATACGATGATTTGTGTGGGGGGCCGAAGTCGATAGTGGTTTCGATCCGTCGTTTGGCTGCGGTAGATGTTGTGGGTGGAGGTGGGGGAGGTGAAGCTGGATGAGTACTCTTGTAGATGTCTCTTCTTCCTGGGGGTAGGTGGTGGTGCTGGTGGTGTAGAACGAGAAGAGCTTCCTGGGGTGGTGGCACCCTCCCCCACCACAGCATCTAGGGTGATAGTTTTTACTATCACCCTCTCCTCTGGGATCATCGATCGGGAGGAGTACCATTGATGGGGTAACAGCAGTGGGACGTTTGAGGATTACAAGCTCCTTGTTATGCTTGCTCAGTTCGTGATGAAGTGAGATCAGCATGGGTCCGATGTCCTTGTGCCAGTTGTCCATACCATCACGTGAAGCCCCTAAGCCATGGGGCACCACCAGTCGAAACATGGTGGGGGTTCTCACCATTAGATTGCCCACTTTTGTTAAGGCAGTTTTGAGCCAAAAAAACCTGTTCTTGGCAGTATCCAGGGTGACATTGGTGATGTAGTGGGTGTCGGCGGAAGACTGTACTTGCTCCTGAGCTATAGGGTTGGACTCGAAGGGTGCTCCTGCACCGAATGCAGAAATTAGCGCCACTATGGTGGGGCGGAAGAAGAGAACTGGCTCTTCAACAATATCTTGACCGTCGGAGGGGTAAGGGGCTATCTTCACTTCAATGTCCCCTGGGGTAGACTGATAACGTATTGTGGCCCTGTTGACATTAGTCAGACCAACACGTTCCACACGGGCATAGTTATAAGACTTCCATATCACGCTCGCCAGCCCATAGGGATGCACAACGGCGGCGGGCAAGTCGTAGACTATTACATCACCGACCCCAAAGGCTGGGTGTCGGTGATGTCGTCATTTATTGTCTTGATGGATGATAACGACATGGCGAAGGGCGGCTGTGAGGAGCGTGTCGACGACAACTATAGTGACAAGGAGCGATGGTGGGGGACCTTTAAATACACCTGTGTACCCACCTGGAGGGAGAGGAATGTAGGGGTGTGGGGTAGAGGCCACCTTCCACACCTTAAAAGACCATAGACACTCCACCCAGACTCGAAGGCTGTAATCTGGTCTCGATGTTGGAAGGCTAATTTTTCCATTTGCCATATCTCCGTCTGGATTTCCTGGGATGAATATTCTTCATAACGTTTCACCGTTTCTCCAAATGACTTAAAAAACCGTTCTGGAGGGCACTCAACACAAGACGGTCATAACAATCCCACAATGCATATATCAATCTACATTTGTGTTCGACATACTTGTAGTACCGCTGTGTAGCAACCAACTTCTTTAATAGGGGAGATTTGTCTTCTGCAGGTGGAGGTGGAGTGGGTCTAGAAGCTTGCTCCATGGTGGATACACAACTGAATATGGTGGCGTTTAAGATGTGGTTCATATAGGTCTTCAATACGGCTCCAAATGAGGTCTCCTATGGATACCCCTCTCCCCTTTTAACTGTGATCTGGCACGATAATTACGTATGAAGGTCGGGTCTATGCCAGCCACCTTCAGTAAAATCCTTACATCCTCCTTGTCAGTTGCCCTAAATTGTCCTTTAGTAAAGGCTAAAGTTTTAATTATATCTAAAATATTTAAATTTTGCACAGGCTTTAATAAATTTCCACGGCTATCCCATATCACCTGTTGGCTGTTTTGCTCAAACATGTTCAATAATGTTTTGACATGTGGAATTTCCTCAATTTTAAAATTCACATTTATTAAGTTGTCCAGACTTGGATTTGGGTTGTGATGGTGGCTTTATGAGGAGTGTGCCCAGCAACAATTAGCTGCATTTCTGCTGGTAGAATGGAATGTTCCCTTTTTGTATTTTTTTTTAAAGGCGATGGTTGCACCGGCCGGGCCGCGTGTTTTTTTTTTTTAAAGAGCGGCGCCCGGGCGTCGGTGGCGGGCTCAATGACATTTAATGGTTGTCTGACCAGCCCCGCCCATCTGGAGGAGTTATAAGGAACACAGGAGCTGCCATGGCAATACCGCCCACAAGCCGTTGTTGTCGGATGAGAGCGGGAAGTGTCCACTTCCCCCACTCCCCCATCACATCGCCAGAGTCACAGGTGGGCTGGTTACAGCTACCGTCAACATTATTACTTTAATTGCTTTCGTTTTTTAAAGAGAAGAACATACTTTCACCATCATCACCGCTGGGAGAGGGCAGACCCACCGCATTAGGAGGGGATGGTGTGTTCTTGTTTTTATTAAATAAATATTTTTTCGGCTATGATTTGTGGTACCAGACAATATTATTTCACCATTTTTCTCTTGTTACTTATTTACGTAATTACCTTATTAGGAAGGAAATTAACAATACAGTCAAAGGTAGCAGAGTCGCCAATATCGCCCCACCACGCCTAGAGGTTAGAATATTCTTCTTCTTGTACAATGGAGTTTTCTTACGTGCTACAGAACGAATGTCATTCTGATACCTCCGTAACCCATTAATTATCTGCAGTTGAACCGGGATGTTTCGTTTCAGAAAATTGTCAAAAATTTCACAAATTGATTCCATTTCCTGCCGTTTTAAAGCCTTGATTAGTTTATTCCGCTTCTTAGGTGATAAATTGTTTAATAAAAATAACAATTGATGGTGTTTCTCTATGAGAGAGTCCTGATGAACTGTCATTTTTTGTTAAATTTGACGATGTCTTGAGCTTTAATCCAGCTATTGCTAGAATCTGGGTACCCTCTCCACTTGACGAAATATTCTCTGTGTCCTTTTGATGTTTTCCTAGACTGTAATATCGTTATAGGAAAATAGTCTGGAATGGATGTTGGGATCAATTATTGCTCATAAAACATGCCACTGACCGGCCCGTTGTTTAAATCTTTGATTTTATATGTCGGGATTGGATGTGTTCTGTCAATATGTGACACTAGAAATATTTCTTCTATATTTTGGAGCCATAAGCCTTTGTGAAATATATTCCTACGCTTTGCCAATCGCACATGCTGCCCAAGGTGCAGCTGTGGACTGATGGGAGTTATGGGGAAGTCATTGTTAAAATACATGATCTTAAACTGTCTTCGTATATCTTCAATATTTTGCAACTTATGAATGGCATGAGGAGTAATTTTAGTATCCTGTGGAATGTGTGGTTGTACATGTCCATGACTTTTGGGAGGATGTGGATGTATTTTAATGTATTAGCTTGGGGTCATATAATGATACAGTTTATGTTTTAAAGTTCTGATGGCTCGCTCCACTATGCTAGATTTCATTTCCGAAAATACACTATATAATTTAATATTTTTTTATTAAAATAAT